CAACTTAGAACTGAGGAGAAATTTCCTGACAGTGAGAACAATTAATCAGTGGAACAGAAGTTGCTTCCAGAAGTTGTTGATGCTCCAGCCTTGGAAGTCTTTAAGAAGATGTTGGATAACCATTTGTTTCAAGCGGTATAGAGTTTCCTGCCTAGGCAGAGGGTTGGACTAGAAGACCTCCAAGGTCCCTTCCAACTCTGTTATTCTATTCTAAGCAGTGGTTTGTTTAAGCCCGGTTTACAGAATAATGGCTGGATTTACCCAACATGCTGCCGTAGCAGAAAACCACAGGGTGGTTAAGTGCATTGTGCGGATTTAAAAAATCTGGCCCATTTTTCTCCTTTCCCTCCCCTTTCCTTTTCAAAAAAACAAAAAAGAGAGAGAGAGAGAGGGTTTCCTTAGAAAAGGAAGGCATCCTGTAAATCGATTTATTTTTGATTCTGCTCACACATCCCTAGTCCATTACAGTCCCCTGAGTGAGGAAGCCATGGAAAGAGGGAAGGAGTTTGGAGTGGGGCAGGCAGGCACCGTTTTGAAGAGACAGTCCAGCAGATCAAAAAGTGAATTTGTCACTTGTCTGAAATGATATAGGACAGGAGTGTCAAACTCAAAGCCCACGGGCCGGATTCAGCACATAGGGTGCTTATAAACAGCAAAGGACCACCCCCAGGGTGCTTCTGCCAACGCCGCCCCCCCTCCGTCCCTAAAACTAAACTAAAGTTTATCGGGGACAAATGAAGGAATTTTTACTGGCAGAGGGCTATCAAAACAAACTAAGAACAAAACAAAAGGAGAAATCTTTCTCTTTTTGCATTTGAGCATGGAGGAAGGGGCAGGAAAGGAGAAAGGGAAAGAGGAAAGACCAAGGAAAAGAAGGGAAGATGGGAAGGAAAAACAAGGAAAGAGGAGAAGAAAGGAGAATGAAGAGGGAGGGAAAAAGAAGGGAAGGGAGGAAGGAAGGAAGATTGTAATGAAAGTGAGGGAGGGTCTCTGCCTTAGCACTTGGCCACCACAGGTGCCCCCCCCCAACGACACGAGTGATGTTGTGATGATCACAACCACTCTGGCCAGCTGCCCCTCCAAGGTCAAACACCACCCTGATGTGACCTTCGATGAAATCAAGTTTGACACCCCTGGTATAGCATCTCTGTTCGAGCAGGGGGCTGGACTAGAAGACCTCCAAGGTCCCTTCTAGCTTTATTCTGAATCTGATTCTGAATCATATTCCCCCACCCCCCCTTTTTTTTTTTGCAGTCTGAAATTGGAATGTGAGAAATTAGCGAGCGAAAAAACAGAGATGCAGAGGCATTATGTTATGGTAAGACGTATTATTAATAATAACAATAATACCCGTAGTACTTTTTTTTTTAAACAGGAAGTTATGGGTTTTACAAAATGAAGGTAGTCCTCGACGTACCACATTTCATTTAGCGACCATTGAATGTCACTAAATGTCTGTAGCTATTGGCGGCTGTTTGGGGGTTTCGATGAGCTTCTTGCATGGTTTTGCGTGTAATTATAGCCGGGTAGCAATCGGGTATCGAATGTTAGGAATCGGGACACGATGCTAAGAGAGGAAACTAATGTTTATCGGGGACAAATGAAGGAATTTTGCAGCTCGGTGTGTGTGTGTGTGTGTCAACTGCCTGCCTAACTGGTGCTTCTCCTTCTGTTCCAGTATTATGAGATGTCCTACGGCCTGAATATTGAAATGCATAAGCAGGTATGCCTTCCTGGGAATCGCGAAAAGGAGCAGGTTTGGGAAGGAAATCCAGATTCGGATACATAAAGACAGAGCTGGCGACATTGGCCAAATATAAATGTGAACTTTGTTCATTTTGGATGATGCCAAGGGGGTTTGGTTGCAGTTGGCTTCCTAGGGGGCATCACGTTTGCAAATTTATAGGCTGCGTTCAGGCAGTAAGATTAACTTCCCTGGTCCATTCACACCACAAGCTAAGCTTAAGGGTTGCGTGAAAGCAGCCAGGTTGTTTAAAATGTACGAAAGGATGGGACTTTCTGAAGGGAATAATTGGTGGATTTTCCTCCTTCCCTCGCTTCCATTTCCCACTTTCCCTTCCTTCCTCCCTGTTTTCCTTCTCCCTCCCTCCCTCCTTCCTTCCATTCCCCCTCCTCTTTTCTGCCTCCTTCCCTCCCTGTTTTCCTTCCTCCCTTTCTTTCTTTCCCCCTCCTTCCCTCCTTCCCTATTTTCCTTCCTTCCTTCCCTCTCCCTCTTTCCCTCCTACCTTTCTTCCTTTTCCCCTCCTCCCTGTTTTCCTTTCCTTCCTGTCTCCCTCCCTCCTTCCTTTCTTCCTTTCTCCCTCCTCCTTGTTTTCCCTCCCTTCCTCCCTTCTTTCCTCCCTCCCTGTTTCCTTCCCCTCCTTCCCTCCCTCCTTCCTTTCTCCCACCTCCCTGTTTTATTCTCCTTCCTTCCTTCAGCCCTCCCTCCCTCCTTTCTTCCTTTCTCCCTACTCCCTGTTTTCCCTCCCTTCCTTCCTCCCTTCCCTCCCTGTTTCCTTCTCCACCTCCCTCCCTCCTTCCTTTCTTCCTTTCTCCCACCTCCCTGTTTTATTTTCCTTTCCTTCCTTCCTTCAGCCCTCCTTCCCTCCTTTCTTCCTTTTTCCCTCCTCCCTGTTTTCCCTCCCTTCCTTCCCTCTCCCCCCTTTTTCCTTCCCCTCTCTCCCTCCTTTCTTCCTTTCTCCCTCCTCCCTGTTTTCCCTCCCTCCCTTCCTTCCCTCTCCCTCCCTGTTTCCTTCCCCACCTCCCTCCCTCCTTTCTTCCTTTCTCCCACCACCCTGTTTTATTTTCCTTTCCTTCCTTCCTTCAGCCCTCCTTCCCTCCTTTCTTCCTTTTTCCCTCCTCCCTGTTTTCCCTCCCTTCCTTCCCTCTCCCCCCTTTTTCCTTCCCCTCTCTCCCTCCTTTCTTCCTTTCTCCCTCCTCCCTGTTTTCCCTCCCTCCCTTCCTTCCCTCTCCCTCCCTGTTTCCTTCCCCACCTCCCTCCCTCCTTTCTTCCTTTCTCCCACCACCCTGTTTTATTTTCCTTTCCTTCCTTCCTTCCTTCAGCCCTCCCTCCCTCCTTTCTTCCATTCTCCCTTCTCCCTGTTTTTCCTCCCTCCCTCCCTCCCTCCCTCCCTCCCCCCAAGAGAAAATTTGAGTCTTCGAAGTTTCTTCTTTCTCTTTTGCTTTAGGCTGAGATTGTCAAGCGGCTGACTGCTATCTGTGCCCAGATTATCCCGTTTCTCACGCAAGAGGTAAACATAAATAAATAAATAAAAGCAGGCAA